TTATTTTATTTTATTTTATTTTATTTTATTTTATTTTATTTTATTTTTCCTGTTCAGATCCTTCAACTCATTGGCTGAGGGTCACCCACATTAAGGAAACCAATCTGTTTACCCAAAGCTCACTGCCTTTAATAAATACGAACTCAGTTGACAGATAACTCTGCCCACTACAGTGCGATGTAGAACAGCAAACTCTGGGGGGGGGGCAGCACTATAAAATGTCAAGACCCATCTTAGAGCTGTAGTTGTTACAGAAATGGAGCCCAGAGCCACACACTGGCATGCATGCTCCCAGATTTACCAGGGAAGTGAGAACGCCGGACAGCGAGAAGGCCCTGGATTGAATAGTAGCCTTAAGCGAACTGGATATCTCTATGTGTTAATTACTTTCCTGTTGCTAAGCCATGACCTAGGCAACTTACAAAAGGAAGAGTTTATTTGGGCTCATGGTTTCCGAGGGATGAGTCTGTCATGAGGACTGGGGGTGGGAGGATTGGAGGAGGCTGGGCGGGAGTGGCATGGCAGCAAGCAGCAGGCATGCCGGCAGAAGCAAGAAGGATTGAACTCAGCACAAAAAGAGTGACCTGGAAGTGACATGGTGGCCTTTCACCTCTCAACCCCTGTCCCGGGTGTTGGCTTCCTCCAGCACAGCCACACCTTCCAAACCTCCTCAAAGAGAGCCACCTTCTTGGGATCGAGTGTTTAAATATCTGAGCCTTATGGTGGACACTCTTAGTCAACCCACCAGAAACTCAGCTAGCTACAATAAGCTGAGAACAAAGCACATCTTTAATGCCCCAGGAAAGGGGAAGCAGGCTGAAGTCCTCTTCCGTGTTTTCAGGGTTGGGCTGAATTTTCTTCCATCTTCCGGTTTGGGCGGATCCCTGAAATGAGCAGAACGGATGGGAGGGTCTTGTCTGCAATGTTCCCACCCTGTCTTCAGCCAGTCCTTTCCAGGGCAGTATTATCCGGTTCCATGGCCAAGCGGCCCTTCTCAGTGTCCATTCCTCAGGGCGGCAACAGCACTCCTGCTGACCCAGCTCCTCCTCCTCCTTGGATTAGCATTTTCTTACCCTGAGCACAGGCACCGAGCCACTGAGAGCCTTTGTCACAGGAGCCCGGATGATACCCTATCAACTAGGCCCTGTGGCTTTAGGCTGTCTACCCGCTGCCCGCCTGTCCTTCTGTTTCGATACCTTGCAGTGGCTGAGCAGGCGCGCCGACAGCGCAGTCCCCTTCCCTCGGCATCCCAAGGCCAGCCCAGTGCCCCTTTAGTGTGGTCTAGAATCATCTTCCCTCGCCTCCACTTAGTACCTGGGGTTTGGGAAGGGTGCCCTCTGCTGGGGGTAGGACAGCATTGCTGGGCAGAGCTCATCTCTGGGCAAGATAAACACCCTGGAGAGAAGCCTGTGCCTCTCAAAATCTTCTCTGATAACTGGCTTGCTCCTCATGGCTTGCTCAGTCTGCTTTCTTACACAACCCAGGATCACCAAACCAGGGATGGCCCCACACACAATGGTGGGAGGCCTTCTCCTGTCAATCACTAGTTAAGAAAATGCCCCACAGTCTTATGGAGGCACTTGCTCAACTGATGTCTCCTTTTTCAAGTGACTCTAGCCTGTGTCAAGTGGACCTGAAACTAGCCAGGACACCTAGGAAATGCCTGACATGGGCTAGGAGTGGAGATCCGGTTGATAGATCGGTGGTCTAGCATGTGCAAAGCCATGGGTCAGATCTCCAGCCCCACACAGAACTGGGCAAGCTGAGGCAGGAGGATCAGGAATTCACGGTCACTCTTGGCTACGAAGTGGGTTTAGGGATCACTCGGGCTACAGGAGACCCTGCTGAGAGAAGAAAGGAAGGCAGGCAGGCTGAGGGGCAAGGGGGTAGGAGGGAGGGAATTGACTGACTCGGTGTTCCACACATTCTGGATGAGAAAGACATAGCTTGTGGTTTTCAAAAGGAAACGGGAGTGTATTAACCAGGTCTCCAGAGCATGGGATGCTGCTGTCTCAGAGCTGCTTTCTGAGACCCCCCCCTGTGGCCTCAGCAAAACGGAGTTCAGGAGATGGCCAGGACACGTGGGCACTCAGACTCTAGGGCAGAGAACAAGGCTAGTCTCAAGCCCCCTTGTCCCATGGCAGACCCAATCACGCCTCATATCATCTTGATCACAGACATCTGGGGGTTGTGGGCTTTTTTTTTTTTCCCAGAAGTAATTTAGCCCGGGTGTGTCTTATCCAGCTAGCCCCAGGGCTTCTGTTCTCAACCTGTGGGTTACGACCTGCTTAGCAGTCTCCATCTCCCAAAAATAGTTACATTGTAACTCATAACAGTAGCAAAATTACAGTTATGAAGCAGCAACAAAATAATTTTATGGTGGTGGTGGGGGGTCACCACAGCATGAGGAACCATATTAAAGGGTCACAGCTTTAGGAAGGTTGAGAACCACTGAGTTAGATCCAGAGGGTCAGCTGACAGGACAGTTTCTGATAAAGACTTGTTGGAGAGGTGGTGTCCAAAATAATTCCCAGGCCGGGCAGTGGTGGCGCACACCTTTAATCCCAGCACTTGGAAGGCAGAGGCAGGCAGATTTCTGAGTTTGAGGCCAGCCTGGTTTACAGAGTGAGTTCCAGGACAGCTAGGGCTACACAGAGAAACCCTGTCTCAAACACACACACACACACACACACACACACACACACACAAAACAAACAAACAAACAAAAAATAATTCCCTGAAGTCTGGGGCAAGGTACAAAGAGAAAGCTCTGCAGGAGCGGGCTAGCCTGAGAATTCAGGGCACCTGGTGAGGTGAGTTCTAGGCCCAGGTGTCAGAACTAGGTTTCTTATTCTTCCCTGACCCCCACTCGACCTGTGGTGAGTTCTCTGTCCTGCCCCGTCTGACTCCCTCCTCACTATGGCTTTCGCGGGTCCTCCTCCCCAGATGTTACCCCCACACATCCTGATCCTCAGAAGACCTGGCATCTATGAGGATGAATATTATAGACTGTGGCTGGTCACAAATTTGGACATTTGTACTCATTCACCATACTGCAACAGGGTGAGTTTCAGGGATCCAGACAGGCTGTCCCCCAACTCTTACCCTTGTGGGCTAGGATGTGTGTGTGGTATGTGCATGTGTGTGTGTGTGTGTAGGTACTGTTCTTACCATGTCAGAAAGTAGCTGATACAGGTCTCCGAATAGAACTATGCCTCTATACCTAGGCCCATACCCTGGAGCTCTGCTTAGAGGCCTCACAGGCCCAACCCATACACGGATGAGCAGCCCTGGTAGTAAGGACTCTGTTACAGGTAGTCAGAGGGAACATGCTGAGAAAGCTTCACAGACAGGATAGTTGTTAAGCTGGGCTTTGTGGGATGAGTTCTATAGGTCAGGAAAAAAAGGAAAAGAAAAAAAAAGAAAAAAGGCAAGGCCGACGTAAGGCATATAACCTGAAAGGAGCAAATGTGAAGGCAAACACTAGTTTCTGAATTATTATTTGCTGCAAATAATAATTTACCTGCTACTGGTGCTCCTATTCTTGAGTGGTGAGAAGAAGCATTTGACAGGTAAGAGATCCTGACACTGGAAACTGATTACGGGACTTGATGGAAGTCCTGAATGAGTTACGTGGTGACATAGATAACCCACTCTGCTTGAAAACTGCTCTGGACCCTGGCTTTAGAGCACAGCGGAACCTCGGAGGCTAAAATACTCTGTAATGAAAGGCTCTAGGTATCAAAACTGCTCCCCAAGGACTAGGGCTGTGGAAGAGACTATGGGCCCCCTCCGCTGTACTGGGAGTGGGGTAGGAGTGGAGGTGCCAGGTTTTTCCTGCATCCCCACCCCCTGTCCTAACCATCTCCAGCTCAGAGATTGGGCTGCTCTTCCCTACAGCTCCCCTGACTTTCCCATATCCCTCAGCCATTTTGGCGATGCCAGTCTCTTGGCCCTCCCCTCCCCTCC